GGGGGGGGGGGGGGGGGGGGGGGGGGGGGGGGGGGGGGGGGGGGGGTATGTCATTGGTAATAAATTCTTTTTCTTTCAGATCAGTGAAACTTTCAAGGTATTTGCCAATTCATCTTTTCGGTTAGAAAGCTGAGTGGATACAAGGGACCAAAATCATTACGATTCAGCGGTATATCTATGTGCACGGAGATGAACGTGCATCGGGAGAAACCCTGTAGAGTGCGCTTATGTTTACGAGGCTCTCTCACGGTGAATCTCTAGGAAAACTAGTACGACCTGGTAGAGGTAGCAATGAGAGTTAAAAAAGTAAGAAAGAGGCGTCCGATGGTGTTTTGTCTTTTCTAAAGGAATCCTGGTATCCCGTAGGGATGGGCTTTAACCGTGCCATCTTGAGGATCGGATGGGGGTCCGTAACTTGAGTTATCGGTATCCCAGGAAGCTCGACTTTACAGAGCTTGAAGTATCCGCTGGGTATGATTTCTTATGTGAATCATCCCCCATGGTTGGGTTGCGTTATCGGTTTCTCACCCTGGTAGAAAATTCAGAATCAGCATCGGATAGGAGCAGACGCGAATTACGCTGTATGGAGTCATCGTCATCATCATCCTATAACGGTTCCGGCTGTACGGTCGAGGATGCCGATCGCAACATTTCGTAAGAGAGTATATATCGTGGTGATTCTTTTCACGCAGCATGTGTGTTCTTCCGAGTAAGTCTCTCACGTCCCGGGTCAGGCGCACCTGACGCCCATGGTCGACCTGAGACCCGGTGTGACCTTATTCATCTATGAGTTGAAAATCATACCTCAGTGGAATGGGTCGCCCGACGTCCAGGACCTGGTGAGCAATATTCAGCACAGACGTCCGTCAACTTGGAAGGTGCGGTTAGGTTGTATGTATCTTTATAAATTTGTTCCATCTGTTAATAATTTTTTTTTTTTTTTTCATATCCAGACATATCGATTCGTTCGTCGAAAGTACCGCAAACCATTGTCTTTGACGAAAGGAGGAAATACTGTATCCGGAATAGGAGTAAAGTATGAACTGTGACGCTATGGTATTCGCGTACGAAGGATTGGGACCGTTTGATGAAGATGTGTAGTAGGTATTGAGACATCGGAAGATCCGCGTGCTCGATCGGCCGTTGGCCTGATGGCCGTGGTTCAAATCGGTTGATCAACCATCGAAAACAATCGAGGGGCCGTTTAAGAGGGTTTGCCTCCTGCCCGTTTAGGCGTTTAAGAGTTAAGAGTCTTCGATCTCTTTGGCCTCTGGCACCGATTCCTTTATTCCTGAGGGCAGGAGTGACGCGCGAGCGACGGCCGTGCCTAATTTAATAGACGCGCCGCCGCCGATCTCTTCTTCACTCTTGTTGCTCTTCTGGCTTCGCTTCCACCTTATTGATAGTCGTATATATGTATATTGGTTATCGAAGGTGCATACAGTCACCGTGATCCTCCACGTTATAAGGGGTTGACGGGCAGCGCCGGGTGAAAGAAAAAAATGAAAACAGATGTTTGTGGATGCCGAGGATAGATAAGAGGACGAAGAAAAAAAGCTGTAGAATAGATTCGGTGGACATACCGAATTCATAATTCTATCTCTCGGAAGCCTCGGCTTTCTTGGCTATCGCGGCAATTAAAGTCCTGGATCGTTAGGTCCATTAATCCGTAGGAGGAGAAGACCTCGGGTGCTTCGCCCCGGGGGGTTCATCTGGACTCTTGTACTTCTGGTTGGCTCAAGAGAATAAAACTGAAATCGGATGAATGATAATAAAAAGATGGAAACTAAAGGCCGGGGGGGGGG